CGTTTTGCCTGGATGGATATCCAACTAACGGTGCCGCTTCCGGAGAGTGCATGCACCGCTGCATAACCTGGATGGATATGGACCCTGCATGCATGCACGCGGCCACTCGGAAAAATAGCCTGGATGGATGTAGACGAAAACGGTGCCGCTTCCCAAAAGTCGCCGCTGCATCCATGCATGCGGCGACTCTGAGAAAATGGCTGGGAAATGTACTGATGGTCCCGTTTTGCGTGGATGGATATGGATATCCAACGAAACGGTGCCGCTTCCCGAGAGTGCATGCACCGCTGCATAGCCTGGATGGATATGGACCCTGCATGCATGCACGCGGCCACTCGGAAAAATAGCCTGGATGGATATAAACGAAAACGGTGCCCCTTCCCAAGAGTCGCCGCTGCATGCATGCATGCAAGCGGCGAGCGGCGACTCTGAAAAAATGGCTGGGAAATGTACTGATGGTTGGGATGGTTTAAGAGAATTCCAGCTAAGATAACACAGATCCAGCAGTGGGCGCTTCTACATGAGCTTCAGTAACCAAAGATTATTGAACTGGTACCATCTAATAGGTATTTTCACTGGAAAAGAGAAGCGAAAAAAGCAATCCATAGGAATGTTTGACGTCGCTCACTTATTCCGTGGTTCCCACTTGAAACCATAAGCATCAAGATAACTTAATTTGCTCAGAGCAGGGGTATAAAGTGGTGGTGGCGGGAGGAGGGGGAGAGGGGGGGGGGGGGAAGAAAGAACGGACGGTATCCTAACAGAAGTTAGGGAACATCATACGATGTTCTCCTAGGAAAATCAGGGCGACCTCTGTGTCTCTCTTTTTCCTTACCCTTTAAAGAAATTGACAAACAGAACAGGAAAAGAGGTGTCTGTCTCAGCGAAGCAGTATTTATTTAAAGAGTACACTCAGTACATCCCTTTACAGGTTCTCACAAGTATTGAGGAGGCGGCGAAGAAGAAGAAGAACAAGAAGAACAAGAAGAAGAACAAGAAGAAGAGTGACAAACAGCGGCCAAACACTTCTTTCCATACATGCATCTCAAGCTTTCCCGAACAGATCCGCATGTACAAGTCTCAGACACGTGCACATTCCCCTCCGCACTTTTGGCCAGGTTGCACACCTGGTGCTTCTCAGGGGGCTTTCCACAGACATCTCTCTTGACGCCACCTTCCCTTCCTCCAACTGAGCAAGAGGGCCAATGGCCTTGACGTCAAAGGAGGACGAGGAGGAAGAGGAGGAGGAGGAGGAGGAGGAGGTACCTCCTAGCTGGAATAAACCAAAAAGAAGAGAGGCGAACAGTGGGGAGAGAATTCAGGATACCATGGGAAGAGCACGACGGCCGTGGCGAGGAGGGGGGGAAGGAAAGAGCAGAAGAGGGGCGAGGTTGAGAAGAACAAGGGAGAAGAGGAGGGTGAGAAACAAACCGGGAAGAAAAAGCAGAAGCGAGGAAAATTTACAAACGACTGCAAGCACAATGACAAAGAGATGGATAGGAGGGGGACGAGACGCAGCAGGACGAGGTGGAGGGGAAGGAGAGGAGGAGGAGGAGGAGGGAGAACATGAGGAGGGAAGGAAAGGCAGAGAAGGAGGGACGACAGGAAGAGGTGGAGGAGAGCATGCGAAGCGGAAGAAGAAAAAGAAACAGGAACAGCAAACCAAAGAGGGCTTTCGCTCTCTTGGCCCCCTCTTTGCCACACACGCACGCTTTCTTTGGCGAGGATGCCGCTGAACAATCGGCAGGATCTCTCTCTCTCTCTCTCTCTCTCTCTCTCTCTCTCTCTCTCTCTCGAGGATGCCGCTGAACAATCGGCAGGATCTCTCTCTCTCTCTCTCTCTCTCTCTCTCTCTCTCTCTCTCTCTCTCTCTCTCTCTCTCTCTCTCTCTCTCTCTCTCACACACACACACA